GTTAGGCTACCTATCTTTTGCTGCCTAATTACCATTGTATTAGTATTAAAAGATAGTCAGGCATTGTGGTTTTATATAGGAACAAGTTCTTACAAGTATTTGTTCCTGTGTAACATTGCTTAAAAATGTGTCAAGCTTGACATAGACTGTAATTAGTCCATCTGGCTTTTGCTATCGGGTTACTCAACCATGTTTTGTAAACAATTAGGCATCGCCTATCTAAAGTATAAGAAAGATGTAATATTGTAGCTGACAATAAATAAATAAATAAATGTGTGTGTGTGTGTATTATGGTTTAGTACTTTGAATGTTTGCTTTATTTTTATTTACTTAGCATGCATCTCTCAAATTAATTCCTTTCTGATACATTGACAGGATTTTTTTTTAAAGTCAAACAATCTCTGCATTGCTATTGTATTATTACATTAGTTCATACATATGACCTCATTATCCTTTGATTTATATAACACATGACCGACAATAGTGTAATGTAACAAATAGATACCATGCAAAACACAGATTATATAATCAAATTCGACCATTCATTATAAAAACAACTAAATCTTATTTTGCAATAATTACAACCTACTATCCTCCTTCACTAAATACACCGATTATAATTTTCTCATCGAATAAATGGTTACCTACATCTATCATTTCAAAAAAACACCATGAGAGTAAAGATCACCAACATACACCAACATAATTTCCTACCAAAAGCTAACAACCCAAAAAACCCTAGTAGGCCTTCAATTTATATTCTACTAATGCTACAATTGAGCCCCCAAAAAAACACTTTAGCAGCACACGGCATGAAGTTAGTCAGAAATGTTCATACAAAACATAGAAGAATCTTTATTTGTCTCTTCGTGATGGTTCCCAAAAGCAGAGTCCGACCTAGTGTCATCATCATCATCATCATAGCTATCGCCACTTGTAACTAATGCTTCGTCTAAATCGACAACAGTTTCTTTCTCAGATTCAGTTTCTGAGTCGGAATTCACATTACTTTCAAAATTTCAATCAGTCTCTTCATCTTCCTCGCTCTCATCTTCTTCTTCACTTTCCTCCTCTTCCTCTTCTACACCAACACCCTTCTGGCGTTTACTCTCAGGTTCATCATTGTCTGAATCAACAATGATAACTGGCCATTCTCCACAGCCATCCCTCTCAACTCCCTGTTTCCTTTTATTACTTGTTTCTCCTTTTTATTTTTTGCTCTCCACCTTCGAAATCTCTTGTTCCAGAAATTTCAGATGGTTGTCCATCTACTTCTTTAATTCAATGGCATACAGACGAAAGCTTGCAACATTTTATTCTTTGGATTTCAATTCATTCGGCCTCCAAATTGGTGGTGAGAATACTTTTCTGGATGTCGCAGTACTAACGGTGCTTGCCATTGTTATGAAATATAGAAATTAAAATTTAAACAAGAAAATAGATGAACTTTAAAAGAAAAGGAAAGAAAAAAAAAAATGAAGAAGAAAGACAGAGCATAGCAAAAGAAGACTCAACACACCACGCAATATAAGGACAGAAAATGACCAATCAAAGACAAGCAAAGCAATCATGACAAATTCTTAAAAGAATAAAGAACTAAGACTTTATGACTTCCTATATACAGCCATTCTACATCTTTACATATTCTATCATTGTACTTGCGTTTTATAAAAAGGCAAAAATAGAAAGTGGCTTTTCATAAATCTCCTTATATGCACAATGTCCACACACACGTGTGCTATCTGTTTTTCCTATTTTTAGACAACGATTTGTCACGCAACATAAAACTTTTTCCCCGTTTTTACTATTTTTAAACAGAGATTTGTCATGCAATATGATATTTCGTTTTACAAAATAGGACAGAATTAATAATATTAATATTTTATCACCATTACACGGTACATCATAAATTTATAATGCTCAACAATAAGTCGGTATCTCCTAATCTTAAAAAATAATAAGATTCAAATTTATTAAAATTATGCGCCTTCCCATTAAATACCTACATCTAAACCCGATTTTAACACAAAATCTAATAATATTTGTAGGGAATATTTCAAGCATTACCCCAAACTTGAACACATTGTGATCATACACTAAAGTACAGTGGCGTCCAAAGAGAAGGAAGATAGAGCTAAAGAGTCGCCAACAAGTTTTAGGAACTTGTAAACCAATCACAGGGTGAAGGTTACACCCCTTAATGATCCAAGAGATCGTTAACTCCAATAGGTCTGGAACCATGACTGGTAGTTCGGGGATGAAGGTACAAATCCAACCTAAAAGAGATTGAACCTGCCCTAATAATAGGCCTCTACTTTATTCTTCTCGTATTCATGTGCGCTTTCTGACTAACATGCAATCAATAAGTTTACCCTAAACCTGTTTATCTATGTTGGTTGAATATTAATGCACAAATAAATCTATTATTGACGATCACTTGAATTATAATCAAATTAATCCTAACAAGATTATTAATTATCTTATTAAGCGTGACAAGTACCAATTCCCTTTAAACATGCATAAAAGGTGTGATCAAGCAATAACAATAATATAATATCAAGCAACATAATAAGAAAATTATAACAATTATAACCAAAATCATAGTCATAATCATCATAACAATTATAATCATAATTAAAATAATCACCCCATATTAAAACATAATAATATCAAGATCACAGGCATGACACTAACAAGATTAATAACAAACCCTAGCATGTTAGTAAACCATAAAACACAAAGCTTTAGCCCTAACATGATGATAACATGCTATTAGGAAAGACAATAAAAGGCATCATAGAAATCATAATTGACATTATATTCTTTACCCTAAACATGATACTAGGAACTTATTGTTGTCATTCTAAACATCAAATTAAGAAAAACATCCTAACATGATACTAGGAATCAAAATAACATTCTAGACATGATTTCTATATCATAATAACAATAAATCAATTAAAGTACTTACTTGGATGCCTCGTATTTCTTTCTAATAACAAAATACACACATTAGTAACTTCAAGGAAAATATAAAATCAAACAATTAAATTCAATAATTGAAAAAGAGATTTGGGACCAAACCCTCAGAAATTAAAACCTTTCACGTCTAGGGCGACGGTAACTTCGAACTTGGCTAGGTGTTTCTAGATCTTGTGAATGCGGAATTTTGTATGAAAAGACTAGTTTAGAAAAGAGATAGAGAAGAATAAGCTTTAGCTTAGAGAGAGAAGAGAATTAGAGAGTTGTTGATGATTGAAAACAAAGGTTTTAGGAGGCTATTTATAGAGAAAATCAGCCGGATTATGATTAAAAAAGAATCAGAGTTTCGAAAAGAATAAAACACGATCGCAGCGCAAAGGCGCCAGACGCCGCGTATGGCGCCAGGCGCTGGTCCTGTCGTCAGAAGCGTGGAAATTTTCCTTAATTTTATAAAATTTAGCCGTACGAGAGGGTAGAATCGTATTTTCCTTAAAAACACTTCTTTTATTCTGATTAAAACTCTAAAAGTCCACTAAAGTCAATTTATCAATGTTAATAAATTAGGAATGAAAAGAACCTTCTAGAAGAACCAATCCTTATCACATTAGGAATGATAATCAATATTAGGCCCTCCTCTAGATCATTGGGCCGCATATAAAGATCAAACCGGGCCCAGTTTAGTAATTTGGTCATAACTTCCTCATTATTCATCGGAATTGGGCTTATAATATATCGTTGGAAATATCTTTTCAAACCTGACCCAATTACACTATTATTGGACCCTTGCCATAGACCAAACCAAACTGGATTGACTGTTTTCTTAAAATAGGTTTTCAAAAACAGAGAGAAAGAAAAGAAATAAAAACCATCTGCAACACTAGACTTTCCACACTTTCACTTCATTCGATTATGATTCGACGTGAAAGGTACTCATCACTGAGTTTGGTTTTGGGGAGACACAAATGGGTGTCTACAATATTATACCACCCATTACATACAATGCGTAAATTGGATAAATATGGTCCATAAATTTAACGAGAACATTAAATTCACCCACTCCGTGTTTATTGGGCTATCGCGCGCGGATGGCTCAACTACTCAGATAAAATCCAATATAATCATTCATTTAAAAAAAAAAAAAACAAACAAACTTCTCATTCTACTTCTAAACTTTAATCATGCTACTTAACTTACCTGTTTAGCACCCGCGACGAACACTAGCACTGACTAAGCCGATCATATCACCAATTTTCCCTAGATCTTTTTAATTTTTTTATTTTTAATTTACTGGTTTGTTTGTAGGGGAAGACCTAAGATCATCAAGCGAGACTCAAAACCCTCTGTCGAATGAGAAATTACAATTTTAAAAAGCGAAGGAGTAACTCGAGTCTGCCCCCAAACCAAACTAATAAATAAATCCTACCTACTTTTCAACGTAGACAATTAGTTAACAGTCAATTCCTTGTATTCACGGCGTTTCTAACAGGTTAAACAACTGCATAAGACACATGTACATTAGTCAGCACTTGATGCCATCTTGTAACGATGCGAGTCCATTTCATATGACAAGTGTTCAATGTATTGTTCAACCTATTTACGCCTTTGCCACGTGATGAACAAACCCTGTTTATCATCGTGATGAATGGGGGCTTCCTCATTGAGGTATCTATAATTGTCGGGTATTTTGGTTGAGTGACCTAAAATAACATGTAACATAAAAGTTGTGAGCCACTCTACCAGTGTCGTGCTATAATGCTTGACATACTTCTTAACACTATGAGACATGGCTTTAAGGATAGCTTAGCCTCGAGAGCATGAAATCATTTGGCTAAGTACTCCATGTAATATTGTAACATACAAAACATAAGTGACGTTCTTACAAGCCCTATGAGAACTTTCAACTGTTCAGCATTCCTCTTTTGCAACTTTATAATATTCGTTGCTTTCAATTTCGATTCTTTCCCACAAAACAATATAAGTATTTAAAATGTTGGCCAATTGTTGGGGATTTGAAGTGATTAAAAAAAAGGATTAATTAAACAAAAAAAAAGGTAAAAGTTTGAATTTCACAGAAGTTGAGTGCATCACATTCATTGGAATTTTACTCTTTGCATTTCTCTGAGTAAACCAACATTTCGTCTAGATTTTACAAATCCAACTATATTTACCACATTATGTAAGCAATAGAAACTAAGGGGCCCTAGGACCCTAATTCACCTAAATGTCACACTACGATTCCCACTGGCTGGGAAAGCCTGGCGTCTTTTACCTTGGGGAAGTAAATCTTCGTCATTACTGCTCCTATCAGTAATGACGCCCTTTTTCTTCCCAGAATGATTGTTATTATCATTAGTTTTCAAGTCTCTCTTTGCAGGTTCCCCAAACTTCACCTCTTTCCTAGCAGCTTCATAATCAAAAGGCTTAAATTGCAAGCCACCAGTGTCTTCAGGATCCTTTTCTTGCTTGCTAGCATGGCTCTGATTCATAGGCTGCAAACATTTCTCAAAACTAGATGATAAATCTGTAAGGGAAATTGGCTCATTATCCTCATCGTCATCCTCATCCAAAACCACTATCTCTGGTTGACAAGCAACTTGATGATCATTAGAATCCGCATGATTTTGATCTCGGTCTAAACTATCAGCTGGTTCTTCGTCACTGGTATCACTGTCCAACAATATAACATCATCTAACATGGTGTTTGACCCTGATTGAACAGGGTGACTTACAGAGGGTAGAACCTCAGAAGCTCTATCTGGCTCTTCACATGCCTGCATGGACCGTTGATCACCATCTAACAATATTACATCTTCTGAAATGCTTCCTAACTTTGGTTCATAGGAGCTCTCCCCAGAAAGCTGAGCATCAGAGGTTCTGTTGGGCTCTTCAGGAGGTTCCTTAGTTGCTGGTTTCAACTCTTGTTCCCTTGAAGAAAATGAATAGAAAGGAAGATTCACAGTAGACTTGATCTGCTCCAACTTGTCTTCACCCTGCAACATGGAAGAATATATGCTGAAGATGGGCAAGTGGAAATGGCCCTCGTGGATCAATGCAAGGAGGTTATGTACAGTTAGCCAGGGGTGTATAATCACATTTCAAAGGAATGAAAGGATATTAAGTGAATAAGATACCTTATACGAGGTAAAAAAACATGGAAAAAGACAAATAGGCCACATAATAACATACATACACATTACTACATTATCTTAAAATTATTTTGGCACAAAACCTTTTTAAAATCAGTTTTCTTTTTGGAGGCAGAACTTCCAAGAAGTGCACCAAATGCACGACCAGGCTTCTTCAACAGCTGGACAGTAGTTTCGGCAACCTACAAGAAAGAAAAGTAAAATCTTCACAAAAAATTCAGAAGGAAAAATGCATTGATTGCATTTCACATTTTTCTGAACATAAAATCTTTTCTGAACAATGGGCATAAAACTAACATTTTTCTGAATGGAAAAGGCCACCTGTTCTCTCTGAGACTCAAGAGTAACACTACCATTAGTGCCTTTTGTTATATTTCCGTTCTGAAGGTTATCCTTTACCAACACTCCATCCTTCCTTGGTTTGGGATCATGGACAGTAAGCTTCAAACCTGGATCTTTCAACTGCAGATGAGCTGGTGCTTGTTCATGCTGGCTACCATCAGAACCTTCACCGATACTACCAGTCTGAGCTTCAGAGATATCAGTCCCTGCATTATTCAATTCAGGTGCCTGAAATGAAACATGACGTCACAAAACATGACAAGAAAATTTTCAAGGGCACTTAATTTCAAATAAACTAATTCTCCATTTCTGCACAATGTATCGAGTTACTGACCATTTTTTCCTTGAAACAGTTAGATCAAAAGCCCAGCCAATTAACAACTACTAACAAGACAGTTCAACATAATGATAACTATAGTAAAATCAGATTTTAAAGTGATAACTACCAGTCCGATACTACCAGTCAGCCTATGAAATTGAGAATTCAGTCATTTTTTATGAAATTGAGAATAATACACGCACGCACGCATGCATGCACATGTAGTCTTCTATTACTACAAACTCACCATCTGAATTCGAGCTTCTTTCAATTGCTGAGCTACGGCTTCAAAAGACGAAGCGTTCTGAACCGCATGCCTAATGATATTGACCACAGAACCAAGATTGCGCTCCACATATGGGTGCTTAGACTTCACCAAATGTCGTAATTTGCTAGTAGTCAGAGGCATCTGCTTGGCTTTTCCATTAAATAAAATAAGTTAAGAATGACAAAGTCACATACAAATTCCAAGCATAAGCGTAGAACAAACAAGAACTGAGCAGAATGGTAAATATCAAAGCATGCTTTTAAAGGGCTTTCAAATACCTATTTCCAATAGTACTTTATTAGGCAATATATAACCAGTGCTTTCATCCTCAGCACGGGCAATAGCATCCCTCCAATCACAGAGACCCTGCGGATAGATATCAAGTTAGAATCAGTGATAACAAGAGGTGACAACATGCTCTTAATATATTAGAGGGTTTTAAATTTTAGATAGGAAAGAAGTGAAAATTATCACAATTAATTAAAATGGAACTTTCTGAATGAAAAAAAAATTCCAATATGCAAGAATGTGAAAATTTTTATATTGGCTCATGCAAGGCAGTGCAGCAGCAGATGACAAAGCTTTGCCTTTAGCACTCTTTTTCACAATGTCAGACATAGGATAAAGAACAAGATATGATTGGTAAGGAGCTACAGCTAACTGACTACAAGACATTGTTCTATAATGAGTATCTTTTACAGGACACTAAAAAGAGGGGGGAGGGGAAGGCCTAGACTTCAGATTTGGAGCTTTCAAGGTATTATCAAGAGTCACTCTTCACTGATTCACTAACCTTAAGGGTGTTGATTGGTACTTCAATATAATGCATGATGAAAGCCCTTTAGAAATTAATATTCAAACATAGAAAGCCATACAATTCACATTACACAAGTTCAGAATTAAATTGGCCGAAAATGACATCAAATTCCTATACTAATCATACTTACAGCGACAATGGATAGCTGCTGAGCATTAAGATTAGCTGCCTGCACACTGTTCATCAACATATACAATAATTAAGCTACCAAAGATCAAGTACAATATTACTTTTCAAAATCAATAGCTTAACCAGCAAGATCTGAAAAGGTGCATCTTTTAATGTTCAAACTACAAGAGACTGACCCATATATATAAAGATACGAAGTATCCGTCAAAAGCTCCTTCTCATAAAGTTGCATGCATAGATCATAACTGCGCTGATATACCTGCTCAATTACAGAATCAACATAAAGTTCCACATGAGAAAGAGAAGATTTTAGTACAAGATTTAACAAAAACATGACAACAGACACCAAAGGACTAAAATTGTATCAGAAAACAAAATTCAAAGTAATTTAAGTATTCCTGAAGCCCTAGACCTTCCAACTAACAGAATCCACAAACCCTAATTTAACTCTTCAAAAAAAACTAATGTCAATACATCTAAAAAAAAGTCAAGTATATGGAGTAATAAAAAACACACTTTATATATAGATGGTGGAATCGACTAGCACATACAGACTATATATAACATAATAATTACATAATATGTTGAGGTATTAGGTAAATTAGGAGTTATCAACTTACGATTTTTTATTTTTTTTTTTTTTTGGTAAAAAAGAAAAATAACATGTAATTTCTGATGTACATAACAGCAGAGGTAGATAATAATTAATATTTATAGAGAGTAATTGGGTATATTAATATTGCAAGCAAATTACAAGCATATCTGAAAAAGAGTATTCAACCCAATATGCTTATATTCAAGTTTCACAAAAGTAGCTTGATTAATCAGAAGTGTTATTTGGGATCAATCTAATCTCTACCAAAATCCCCACTAAAAGAGACTAAAAATTGAAATAAAGCTTTTTGTTCATAGATTTCCATCCACCAAAAGTGCAGACTAATACACAGCTGACGATCCACTGGTAAAATTTATCTCTCTAAAGCTTCAATTTAACATACCAAAAATGTAACAAGCCCCTTATCTAACATCAAGGTAGATAACAGCACTAATCAACTGAGATAAATAGATAATACAAATTTTAGCGACAAATTCTTGTCATGATCAACGTTGGCTCTAAGAGACCACTTCACTTCCCTTTTAATTGATATGCCATTGAAAAAGTTAATAACACTTTAAAATCGAATTATAAAGAACAGGACCACTTTTAACAAGAAAAAGTAAAATAACTTTTTTGACAACCTTGTAAGATGGCAGGAGCAAATTTTTCCATAGTACAGCAGCCTATAGACTAAAATACTGGTTGGAAAATGCAAATCAATGAAAATATTAGAAAGGTATGAGAAAAGTGGTGTTGTAAGAGAAGAAAAATAAAAATATAGTTGTATAGAGTTTTATAAGAAATGAAGAATAATACTGATTTAAAAAAAAAAAAAAAAAAAAAGATCGAGTAGAATATTGTTAATTAAAAAAATTGAATAAATAATTCTGATGAGTGGAATGTTGCAACTAAAGTGGGAAAAGGTAGAGTAAATGATTTCAATTAGGAGGGCCATAAAGCCTATAAGGGGGTGTTTGGTTCGCGGAATATAGGTATGAGGTATAGGTTTATAATGACTAAATCTCATAACATTTGTTTGGTTGTCAAAAGTATGAATTTAAAGCCCATACCTCAAACCTCATGAGGTATGGGGTTTAAAAACCTTTGGGGGGAGGTGGGTTTGGCACTTTGGCCCATTCCATTCCCTTAAGTCTCAAATACATGGTATTAAGGGGATGAGATTCCATTCCAGAATTGAACCAAACATATGGTATTAAGTATCAAGTTCCAATCCGATACCACCATTCCTGATTCCAAACCCATACCACTCTGCGAACCAAACGCCCCCTAATGGAATTAAGTGAAGTAAGACTTTGAAACAACCACTATAAGGTAACAGCAGAGGAAGTGCCCACTAAAAATAAATATTGATAAGAGCTTAAGAATATAACACTAAATCTTCAAACAATTCCAACAAGTAACTAAATGTAGTAACATAATAGCATCATAGTGTACAAAATTAAACAAGGCATACCTCTAAAAGAAGCCCTTTAAGATTTTCAGGATCAGTACTCTCTGAGAGCAGCCTGATCCTCATTAAATCATATATATATAATAAGTAGTGGGTGTCTTCTCGAGCATACCTGTGACAAGTAATTAATGTAACAGTTATATGCACAATCACGTAGATAATACAAAGGTAAATAATTGAAATCAAAGAGAGAAGCAATATAAAGTGATGCAAATCGTCTCAATGGAATCTACATGATGCTGCCTGTAAATTATAAAAGGAAAGGTAGCCTCTTTGCACCCATGATGGTTTTTTTTCACCCTTTTTTTCCTATATAAGTTTTGCACCCATCATATGAGTTACAAAGAGACTAAAGTCATTCCTAAATGATAATTTCAAGTGACTAAAATATCTATTCCAATGATGCTAGAAGTTTTCCACCTTGATCCACAGAAATAGAGCCCCAGAGACTATGAGACATTCTAGTAACTTAAATATATAGGGAATCATCAGTGTTAACAGAACAAATACGAAAAAATCAAAAAAAAAATAAAGTTATAACTTTTTGGCTACAAATTTGCTTTGTGACGTTTTAAGAGTTAAGGAAAAGTTGTGGCATAATGCTTTAAAGCAGAAGTTGTGGCACAATGCTGATAGGCAATTTGAGTAGTAGTTGAAACAGAATTGCAGTAAAATTTTCAGGAGTTTCCTTACTTCCCCAGCCATGTAATTTGTTGAGACAGGAAGCATCATTATGGACTAAGGCAGCTAAGGCTTTCAAGACCAATTGGAGAGATTAGAATATTTAAGTAAATTTGTAATTAGAATATTAACATTAAGATGATCAAATAAAATGTATAATCAGATAAGGAGATATACAAAAGTATACCCATCAACTTTATAAACAGAACTGCATCAAAACTCAAAAGTCATGTGGAATTACCGACTAAAAATATAGGCAAGACATTAAAATTCTATAACTAAATTTACACATTCAGTGGCCAGATCTAAGATGTTTTCTCCTGATTCCATAGCACATAATTCCACCACTGGTGTCTATTAATGGAATCTGTTCACATGCCTTGTACTTGGGTATTATGTATAATATCTTAGCTGGGTATACATTTTCCATGCCACTCATAGTCTGATATGGTTGTGTGATCCCCACAGTTGGGTAAGGTTGTGTAAGATCACCCATAGTTGGGTCCTAGGTATGTTTAAAATAAATTTTTTCCTTTCACTTTATTTCCAACTTGAGGCTATTCTCATATTTGCACTCTTTATCAACTGTAAATATACAAAATTTTCATATAGGAAAAAAAGGGTGAAAATATTTTATAAACAATTCATTTATATTAAAAACTACTACTTCCATCCTCAAATAATTGTCTTGCTTAAAATTTGGTCAGTCCCCAAATAATTGTCTTTTCACCTTATATGAAAAATTCCGCTCACCTAACTCATTCAACCCATGTGATGTAGGCCCAACCACTAACTATCTCGCTCACTCTCTTTCTTCATATCCCATGTGATGTTGGCCATGCTATAGACTACGTATTCAACAGATAAATTAGAACAGAAAACAGAGGAAAATGGAGGTAAAGCTTGGATCTTTGATTAATATTCAAACTACGGCTACGATGGAGAAAGACTCTACCTTGGAAGCTACTCTACTATTCTACTGCTACTTAATATTACTTCTCTCAACATAAGTCTGCACTATTACATTCCTCTTCCTTTCAAACCAAGCTCTATCCTACTCAAGTAACCTAATCATTAAGAGTTTTGTCCTGTTCTGCGCCAGGTGAATGCAGTCCTTTATCCTCCATTCAGTGGAGAATTCCCTTGTTTGTCTTCTTGTGACAGCTTGTGATTGTGCACCTGCCCCTTGCCTTGTTGTTTGTGCCTCCTTTCATACACTCGCACAGCCTGCTGAGGTGATTCCCCCCAATTCATCGCAGGCCCCTCCACTAACTCTTCCTCCCTCAATCAATATTTTTTTTATTCTTACTTTCCACCATCTACTAAGGATAAGTTTATCCCCAAACCCAAACTCAAACACCACACTCTGTCACGTCAACTTTCCCCCAATTTTAAATAATTTTTTTGTTATTTAGACTCATACCAAACTTTCTCCAATTTAACACATTATCACAAGACTCACTCCAAACTCATATACCCTCCTAAAAAATATCAACACACATTATTAAAATTTCAACAGCTTTTTTGAGCTAATGAGTTGGCAGCTCGTCATTGGCCAACAAAACAAAATCAGAATTCTTTATCATTTTATAGTCTTAAGATGACTCGATACTACCTAATGTCTTGCACCACATTATTGCAAAAAAACACATAATCTTGTATGTGAGTCTTGAGTCAAGACTCCACTCAAGGACTCACCAATAAACTTACCCTAAGAAAACTTGCACTACTCTACCAATTTACTGTAAATATGCATGCCTAAGCCTAAGAGGAAAATAATTTAAGGACATAGAATGTACTAATTAATGTATAAAACATATACTTCCTCTGTTACTTGCAACACACCTTTTTAGTACGCTATTTGAGGAAGTGATTAAACTAAGTAAACGGATGAATGAAGCAAAAATATTTAAACCATAGCAACTTATCACTTTCTTCTTATCGGTGGTAAAATTTTGTCAATTAATTTGTCCATTTACCTAGTTTAATATCTTTCTTTCTAAAATAGTGTGTTGCAAGTAACTAAAGTAGAGGAAGTACTAATTAGGTACATTAACCCTCCACCACCCCCACCCCCACAAAAAAAAAAAAAAAAAAAAAAAAAAAATCCAAACTGGATGGCTAACAAACTAACAGACCTTTACACCTTAGACAATTCACTGATATCAAGGTATTTTCATTGATATCAAGGTATATTCATTGCTCAGATGAGGCATAGTTTCATGGGTCTAAAGTTCAATAGTGTAAACTGCAACTTTTTTCAAAAAAACAAGTTGCACAATTATTAAGCATCTACCTTAGCATCTCACGAGGAAGTGGACGCAACCTCCAATCAGCATTCTGGTATCTGCATGAGATTTTAGTAACCCATATCAACCTTCAAATCGAATATTGTTCTTATAAACAGAGGTCAACAAAGTTTGAAATAATTACTGTTTATTTGCAGTAACTCCACAAAAATGTTGGAGAAGATGTTCCAGGCTATGTCTCTCCATTTGTAACACTCGAGAAGCCTTAAATAAAGTCAAAACCATGTTGTATTAGACAATACAAGAGACCAAAATAGCATGAAGAAGAAAAATGATAGCTCACTTTTTATTTTGCGCTACACAAATGCATTCAAAACAGGGAGAAGCTTAGCAAGTCAAATAAAGAAAAAAGTAACCGTAATTGAGTACATGATAATATTGTTGACATGGCACATTTGACCAGAACTTTTTACATTTGTTAACACTTAACAACATGTCCATCAAAAAATCACTATCCTCCCCAACAGGAAGATGAGAGAAATTCTTTTTTTTTTTTCCAGTCTAAAGAATAAGCCATAAAACCCACATTATCTCTCCAATTCTACTTTAGTGATATGCATAATGAAAAGACATAAATTTTCATTTCAAAGAACTATGATAATGCTTACAAAAGGCAGTATCAACAACTTGTGCATAAGATTTCATCTGTTTGAAAGCAAAATCAACAAGGTATGAAATTTAAAACAAACTGTAGTATCAAGTCTGATCTAAACTTGTTCTATAAGTAGTTCACATAATTAAACCAATAAAACAAGATACAAGTGCAAATAAAGGGATGACAAAAATGTTCAAAATTATGGATGATAGTTCCTATGACAGTAAGAAAAGGAAGGCAAGCTATACACTATGGCCCTGTTCTTGCAATAATAACATTCAGTAAAATATAGAATAAGTATATATTCAGTATAAACATATTGGTGAATTAGTAATATATAGATTTAGTATAAACATATTTTAGGTCAGTAACAATAATAATATCCAGTAAAATTTATATTTAGTATATAAACATATCGGTGAATTAGTAAATATAAGCAAAAACCAGGTGTAGATAGAAATATTAAACTTGATCAATAAAATAAATTTTAGGTCAGTAAATAAAAACCAGGTGAATAGAACAGGGTCTATGTAGATATGAGATTAAATATAAGCAAAACAAAGGTCTTTAACTCTCCTGATTGACAAACCTTCAAATTATACCCAATCCAAAATTAGAGGATATTTTTTCAAGTAAATGTATACTTCTTTTGATAAATTTGTTTCTAATTTACACAATAAGCAAGGACTGCAGATAAAGAGAACCACCTCCCACTCTTGATGACCAACATATATGAGATGAACTATAATTAATACAAATGAAACCAACAAATCGCAAAACCACAAAGATGGATAAATTTGCAAAGACACTGCAACTAATCCCTACTCAATAAGAAATCCAGTAATTTAGTTTTCGTCACAGATAACCCAGAAAATATATGTAATATATATACATCAAAAAACAGGAGTTATTTGTAAAAAAGAGGGCATCTTAGAAAAAAGGCTAAAAACCCAAAATTCAAACACATAACTGAACTGCTGAACATTCTGAAGCATACCTGTCCTGTATCAAATAAATTGCATACATAAATGCCAAAGTCTCTTTGAAGCCATGCAATATCCCTGTCAGCTCCATGCATAACCTACCAATTTGATATATCCATCATGGTACAGCATATACATAAATTTTATAAAAGAGTTAAGACACCCTGTCCCCGACTCCCCATGTACAAAATCCAAGAGCATATCATAGATGATCATTTAAGGGAGAAGAGAACGTGAAACTACAAACCTTTTTCTTTGTAGGATCCTTGAAGATTTCCCTTAAGTATGGACCAATATGAATTCTCAACTTCAAAGTATCAACAACAAAGTCTTCAGTTCTAGTAGATATTTGCATTAAACAAGTCAAACCTTGAAAAGACCGATACTGATTATGCTCCAAATCAACCTAAAGAACAAATATGTTACATTTTGTTTAAGGGGAAACAAATATGTTACATAAATAATCGAAGTATATACAATTTGTCAAGCAATTATGCACAATAACAAGCCAAGACAGCTAAAGTGAAAACGGCCGAAAAGACACAATTTAAAAATTTAAAAAAAAAATAACAAAAAAAAAACTCACATACATATCAATAAGCATGTAGAGTGCACCTTAAATACTCCCAAAATCATCAATTGTTCTCATTTATAACCTTAAGTCCAAAAATGTAGCTTTCGCCAATGATTGTCACAATAACAAAATTGATGTGTTGGTCTCACGATGGAGATATGGTTTACAAGGATTTTTAAGTGCTCATAAATATTGAAAAGTAAATAGGCTCGACAAAAGTGCCATTTCAAAGAATATTACAGTAGTATTTGATTGCCATGTATGTAGTATTTACAAGTGTTGTGTCAAAAATACATACATATATATATATATACAATAAATACAACTCCCTCCGTCCCAATGAATAAAGTTAAAAAAAGTGAGGGTATAATAGTCTATACATACTATCTAAAAATAGAAACAGGAACAATATTTTGGTATTCCAAAATAGGAAAACTGGAATTATAATATGGGACAGAGGGAGCACCAAGTATTATTGGTCCTCCTACTTTGTAACCTTTGGTCAGACTGTCAGAGTATTTAGAAACACTTTAAAATTTAAAACACTTAATACCAAATTTCTATTGTGACGAAAGCAATATGGTCCATGACCAACGCATCAGTACTGTAATTGCGAAATTGCGACTGTTATTGCAATCATGATCAAAACTGCAATTTCAAACCATCCTCAGTGTTTCAAACATTCAAACATTACCCCCTAGATTACTTTATTTTGGACTTTTACCTCCTTTATGGAGAAATACAAATTGTGGCCAGTTCTTACATGCTAAACACATTATGGATAAATGCAGCAGAGAGAACAATAGATTAGGCAAAAAGATAACAGGTGCTTTACCATTATAAAAAGAATGGCCATTTTATTTGTTAGAAAATATAAATTTTTAAACCAGTTTCCTTGGGTGACATCTAAGATGTCGGTGTGGCTAAATTCAGATTTTAGGCAGTAATATGACAAGCAATACAAGTGCTTTTTTTGTCAACCAAGGAGAAAGGTTAAGGACAGTATCATTTTCTTGGGAGACGGACACAAAGAGGGCGATTCTGCTTACAACTGTTCAAGAAAAGAAAACAAATGAGTAGAAAAGAACTTCTCATTTTCATGCCTTCATGGCAGAACCATTTTCTTTAATTTCCTAGGAAGAGGAATTTAGCCATAAGAAAAAAAAAAAAAAAAAATTTGTTATTGCCTAACCATCTTCAAGGATTCATCTTCTTTACCAATTATCATACTAGTATGGCACTTTTTTTAAGAAACCAGCTCTCTAAACAGCAACACAGTTTAGAAATTCTAAGGGAGTCTGCTAGGAGGAAACAGATACTAAAGCATCCAAGGGTACTTTGTGAAAACATATACTTACCGCAATTTCATTTGCACTCCGTAGTTTAGCAGCTAACTCCTTTAAATCCTTGACTTCTTCAACCATTTTAAAGGGAGTAGATTCCAGAGGCGGCGGCATCACTGGCTCAAGACTCTCAATATTACAATCCACAAAATCGTTAACCGATAGCTTTTCCTGCAAAAACAGAAATAAAAAAAGATTGATTAACATATTTCAATCAGTTTTTTTACAGGTAAAATAGAAATCTAAATAAAGGGCAAACAAAGCAATGTCAGGTGTATACAAAAAGGATGGCTAAACTTAATATATACCATGTCCCCATACATTTAAATGTCCCCACTCTCCCATAACAAGAAAACTATAAACACATACCAAGTTCTCAATCTACAGACTCATGCATGCTCACAGAGCTTAAGTAAAATGTTCAAATCCTTACAGCCTAGATCCCTAATTATTCTTCTTCTGCTTAACGCCTTAATCCCATTAGAGGGGTCAGTTACAAGAACTGAATGAGGACTTCCCAAAAGGTAACCTATCCTAATACTACTCTCAATCATTGTGGCTCATGTCAAGTGATGCAAAGTTTTACACTGGCTGTCACTGGCCTACCGTAACCCTCCTCCTTTATCTAGGCTAAGGACTGGCAGAGTTTAGATCCCTAATCACTAAAATCACCAAATTTAAATTTTTCACTTTTTGCAAACAAAATATACTACTTAAATAAATGAAAAATAAATAAATAAATAATGATAATAATTTTTTTTTATAAAAAAAATCAACTTCCATAAACAAAACATCCAGAAACACAAAGATACCTTATAGCAAAAATTGAATGAGGTAGAAAATTTAGAACAAATCCCATACACCCGGGTACACACAAGCTTCATTGACACTTGACAGAATCAATGTATAAAAAGGCTCAAGGCGCACCAAGGTGTTTTGGAGTACCTTGCGCCTAAGGCGTGCCTCAGAGCGCCTTGGTGCGCCTCATTGAAGTGAGGCGCATATAATAAGAAATAAAAAAAAATTCTGAAAAAAGCTCTTGTTGCGCCTCAGGCTGCGCCTCTGTGCGCCTTAGCTGCGCCTCATTGAAGTCGCCTCACCTAGACCATAAAAGGCGGCATGACCTCTAAAGCCTTGCGCCTTAGGCGCGCTTTTTCAAACACTGGACAGAATAATTATTAGAACACCGCATAAGGTTTTATTGTCAACTGAACCTTTTATATTTCTAGTGTATTTACTGTCTGTTTACCTACACTCTGAACATTCATTCTTTGAATTATACATGACCTCAATAAACACCCTCCCAAGGTAATAAACTTATTTCACTGATACCCATCTAATAATAATTCACTTCTTAACCCATATATGCAAGTACAGCAGTCCATTTTGTAAAAAGTATTGAGTACATCCCAATGATTAGGTGAATGATGTAATTAGGGCTGTGCAAATTTCGGTCTGGACTAGTTTATTGAACCGGACTTGACAGAATCGAACCAGACCGAAGATAACCAGTCCGTTCTTTGGGTTTCAAATTATTCAATTAATTATCAATTCGGTTTCCGGTCTGGCCTAAACCCAACAAAAAACCCAAACCAGACCGAACTCAATATTTGTAATTAAAATGAAATGAACTATAAACTTCCCCAAGAATTCCTTCAACAATCTCCAAATCTCCATACTTTTTTAAAAAATTTTCTCTCCATTTCTTTACCACTTTCTTCTACATAAAGTTGACCATCATCATCAAATAAGGCAATCAGAAAAATAAATCATAACAAATTCCTTCAACAACCCTAAATCTTCCTTGGAAAAGAGCCATCAAAAACCCAAATTAAATACCAACAAAACCCTCTACTCACCTCATAATTATTTATATGCGCATACCTAAACCAAGATTTAACACTGCCTTGAATCTCTCATTCTTCCTTCTTCATCAAGCTAGGTGGCAACCTAAACCTGCGTTGAAGGTATCTGAAACCAGCTGCAAGGTGAGCGAAGGTGGGAAATTGAAGGTAAATTTGAGAAAAATCGAGTTCGAGATGAGGTTGCGTGCATTTGAATGAAAGAATTAAAAAAAGTAGCATGAAGAAGAAGATGAAGTAGCTGTAGGGGAATTTAAGCAATGGTTGAAGGTTAGCATTGGAGGAGAGAAAAAAACCTTGAAAAAGTGGAGAAAATGGCAGAAATGTTAAGTGAAAGCAGAGGAAGGCGGTTGACTTAAAACTGAAAACTTTGAAAAGTACTTACTATCTCATGGAACCGGTCCATTTTGGGGTTTGGACCAGGCTCCGGTCAAGACGGATATTGACCGGTCCGGTCTCCAGTTTTATATTTAATACTATCGGTCTTTGGTTCGGTCAAGTTCTAGACCGGTGCACAACATAGATACTGCAATTCAATACCAAACTTACGAATAATCCTAATCTACAAAGTTCAACTATGCATTTCTAATAAGGCACTATTCTTATCAACCTTCCATAAGAAATTGGTATAACAAAGACTCAAAATGACACTCTTAAGCAATGCATTTTTTACTTATTACTCATCATCACATCAATACCAAAAGAAAATAAGTTCTCAACGTTCCATTGATGGAATTATTCACATCTTAAACAAAAACTAAAAGGATCCACCTAATTTCTCCCACATCACATTCAAGGTAAACCAAAACTAAACATTTACGAAATACATCAAGTTGCATTCCTTTTCATTCCTAACAAGTTGTAAACTAACGGTACCTGGTAGCCATTAGCTTTTATCTTTAAAGTAGTATGTAGCTGTTTAAGCAATGGGCAGCTTGCAACTAATAGTTGTTAGCTGTCAAAGTAGATATTGATAGTATAAGTGCTTGAAAAAGTAGCAGCTGAACATGTATAAGCAACAAGGTCCATATATAATGACTTGTGATACTTCAACTTCAGAATTGCACCAGATAACTGTTTTGATCTAGGAAAACTTACCTAATTAGATAGAGTCAAGTTAACATATTTCATTAGAATTCACCCTTGATAGAAGGGTTTCTTATTTCTTTCTTTAATCTCACTTTTTTTAAAAAAAAATAGATAAATAAAAGAAATTTTGACAATAACTACCAATTAAAGCACGTGTTTTGAAAACAACTAACTATGATAAAAAAAATTAAAAAGAACTACCACAAAGTTTTAAAAAGTTTAAGTACCACTACCACTCTAACAATTTTTTATTAGAATCTCCGACATTTGGGTTTCACTTTTTTACCACTTTTAACCATTATAAAGGGTAATTTAGTCAATTTAGATAGTTATTTTATGACGTAAAGGTAAAAAATGGAACCTATATGCCGAATATTCTAGTTAGAATTGTTAGTATAGTAGTGCTACTTGAACTTTTTACAATTTTGTGCCAGTTCTTTTAAAAAAAAATTAATAGGTAGTTGTTTTCAAAACACGCGCTTTAATTGGTAGTTCTTGACCAATTTTCCATAAATAAACATTGATTTAACTACCTAATCTTTAAATTTATTACATTTTTCTCTTTTGTTTGGCCAAAAATATTTTAATTGTATGACAGAGTAATACATATAATATAATTCACTACCATTAAAGTACAACCTAACACATCATCTCAAGATAAACATTTCATATTAAAGAATTCATTAACCACCCGTCAAAAAAAAAAAAAAAAAAAAAAAAAAAAAAAAGAATTCATTAACCAACATCTGGCAAAACAGGTTCCAAGTAATAGCCTGCCAAAAGCTACAATGGAATCAAGTAGGGAGATGAGTAACAAACAATGTCATTCCTTTCATTTGGCTTATTTTCCTTCATTTGAAAAAGAATTAGGCCACATTAACGGGAACTTGGGCATCATATGTAAATGCATGAAAAATCAAATAATTGAGATAGTAGCCAAATTCATTAAAAGAAGGAAACGGGGGTTAAAACTAACCAATGGGTGAATGAACTTCGAGTCATCCTCACTCTTCTCAAGCCAGACGTGCTGGAACGGAGTATTCGTGTTGTTAACCAATATATTGTACTCCTCCTGCGGTCTCCTAATTGTCGAAATATGAAACGGCACCTTCTGCTTCGGCCCTTCAGTCTTCTTATCCCTCTCCACAACCCGAACCGATGGAGACGGCACAATTTCCTCCTTCTCTCTCATCCCACCAATACCAAGACCCTTTTTCTTCTTCCCACAAACCAACTGAAACCCATCTTCATCAACCAAATGTCTAGCCCTAGCAGCTTCTTCTTCAACCTTCCGTAACCTCGAAAACTCATCCACAGAAACATCAAACTTCTCAATAACTTCATCATTAACATTAACAAGCCAATCATAGGCTTCATCATCAACATCTTGAGGAAATTCCATCTCTTTACCACCCCACAACTGCTTTGCCGAATTAATTTGTTCTAACATTGACTGAGACTTGGCCCCAATTTCATCAATTGGACCTTTAAACTCATCGAAATTATAGTAAAAATGGAAGTCCTTCTCTGAAGGCAAAACCCTAGACGACCCAGAAATCTTCGAAATCGACGAAGTAATTGCGCTGTTTGATAAAGCTACTAATGCTTCTGATTTCTGCTTCAATGCATCGGTCTCAGACTGCAGAGGATCAACCTCCATATTCATCGAATTTGTAAATTAGGGTTAAATTTGGGGGCGATTAAGATGAATCAAATAGATTGAATCGGCATGAAATTAGGGTTTAGGGTTAGGGTTTAAGAGTCGCCGACGACACAAGAAGGGTGGAGCAGAAGAGTGAGAAAGGTGCGACTGAGTTCGTTAGTGTCCGACAGAGAAAAATTGGAAGAAAAAAAAATTAATAATTCCACGTTTTTCTTTTTTTTTTTTTTTGAAACGAATTCCACATTTTTCTGTTTTTAATAGATGGTTTTTTTGTAATAAACAAGTTTTTTATTGGCTTGGAGTGTTTATTTGGTTGACAAGTGTTTTTATGAAAATATGACATTTGTTGAAAATGAAATTATTTTTTCAAATTCAAAAATACTTCGAGGTAACACATTTACATATTTTTAATCCATTTTATAATAATCGGCATATTTTAATTGACACATATGGCAATACACAACTTTTAAAATCATTGATATTTATATTTATAATTATGGAGTATTATTAAGGTATGTAAAAGATTAATATAACGAAAATATACCTAAACGCTAATTCAAAAATATCTCACATGGCAACATATGTTTATTATAAATTGATAAAAGGTACTCTCTCCATCCCCAATTGATTGTCACTTTTATCATTTTGGGTGCCCCTAAATGATTGTCACATGTTTAGATTACACATTAAATTACAATTTTAACCTCATAAATTTTTGTCCTTACGAGGGCTTATTTTACTTTCATATTTTTTGCCCTCTTTAATTATTGGTCCCCTTTGATTTGAAATTTGTAACTATGACTTTCACTCTCTTTCAAACATTTTTAGCTTAGTCATCAATGAAGAAGTAGTGAGGGAGGTTAGTTATGCATTTGCAAATGCATAACAAACACTAAATTATTAAAAAGCACATGGGGATGAGAGAAAGGAGGAGAGAGATGGGTAAGTGAGGCCATTTTTTAAATGTACCGTTGAAAGATTAGATAGTACCATTGACTATGTAGTGATACTATTTCTACCGTAGTGATACTATTTCTACACGTAGGGAGTACCACTGAATGAATATATAATACCACTGCATACATAAATAGTACCACTAAAATGTTCAATGATATCATTTAATCATCTAGTGATACAGTTGATCACCTAGTGGTACTACTCTAAATTCAGAAATGCATTTACGTGAAATGACCCCCATGCCCCTCGTTATGCATTTACTCATACATAACTAACCTCCCTTTGGAAGGCCTCGTCATCAATATGTGTAATGTAATTTTATTGGATTATGTAATTATTTCTTGTAATATTATTGGTTAAAAATAAATCACATGGATTATTAATGTGGTCCCTGATTTTCATTGGTTGTTTGATAAATCACATGGATTACTTTCAATCTTTTTTTTTTTTGGTAAATAATTGGGTTTTAGTTTCCATGTACCTCCTTAATTTCTCCTTAATCTCATGATTTTCTATCAAAAGTGACAATCAAATGGAGATGGAGGGACTAGGGCAAGGGCGAAGGGAAGGGGGGGCTGGTGGAGGCCCGGCCTCCCCAGCCCAGATTTGTTGCCCATATATTAGAGTTTATGCCCCCCCCCCTTAAAATTAGTATATATAATATTCAACACTCAATTATAACAATAAATATACCTTGTCATGTTGGTTGGGTAATGTTTTATTTTTCCAAGTGGGCTAGGTTCGAATCCCATCTCCTAATTAAAACTTCTTATTCAATAAGACAATTTTTTTTTTAAAAAAGTTAATATTCAAAAAACAAGAGGGTCTTTCTTGCAATGAATATCGTCAAAATTCAACTAAGGAGTAAAAAGGAAGATGATTTTCTTAGAGATGTTTTGGTTGTATACCTAGAAAAAGAAATTGTCGTAGATTTTAGTGATCTTTGATTGATGATTTTGCTACTATGAAAAATCATCGAGTACGATTTAACTAATGTTTTTTTGTGACAATAAAATATTAGTACACTTTAATTTTTTTCCATCAATCTTTTGTCTAATAAGTCCGGCCCCCCGGGACTTGAAAATCTTGGCTTCGCCCCTGGACTAGGGAGTATTGTCAAAGTAAATATTTGAATAATGCAAATTCAAATTGTTGCACTTTTTACATAACGAATGTAGTATTTATTTATTTATTTTTTCTGTGCATTATTCTTACTATTCAAAAGCTAATGAACTTCCCAAGGCGCATTGGATAAGATAATCTTAAATATTAAATTGAAATGAACATTAATTATACGACCGACATGTGATTTGGTATGCATTCCCAAAGTAGGTCCCCAAAACTTCGACCCTTTTGGGTTGATTTCTTGGGTATTAAGAAACTTATGTTGAAAGTACAAGTGTATGGGGAAGCTCAAGTTACAATTATTTGCAATTAATATCTAGAGAGAGAAAGTCTTCTTTTTTCTTAAACAAAGTCTTCTTTATTCTAAGAGAAAACCTTTTTTTTTTTTATCTTTGTTCAATGCCTAATAAAATCCCACTAATAGTGGAGTAATCCATGTGAAATTTTTTTAACCACTAAGATTTGAGTATTGTTTTACAACATCCAATAAAATGAAAATACACAAATTGCAAACTCAAGGGGTTTTTTTTTTTTTTTTTTTGACAGGGCAAACTTAAGTAATTTTAAGGAGAATGAAAAAAATATGTCACCCTCATCACAAAATTATCATAGCAAAACGAAAGCCACCATCAATCAATTTTACGCTATCACTCAATACATAATTAACAAACTAAGCTAATTAAAGAAAACAAACCAAAAAAAATCATGGGTAAAGGGTAAGATACGCAACTCAAGTGCTGCGAATTGGTTCTTTTTGAGTAAATTTTTTGGGGCTTTGATTCACAAAAACTCTAAGAGCACCGATCTAGAATTTTTTTTCACCAAATCATCAATGGAAGTGGATGGATTGAGGAGAGAGAAGAAGATAAACTAGAGTTCTTCAAGAAAATTAAAAAAAAAAAAAAAAACAAATCAGAGAAAAAATGAAGAGAGAGAAAGAGGGACATAAAAATTTAGTGGCAGTAGAGAGAAAATATATATTAACTATTAAAAGTGAGAACTTGTAAATTTTGATCCCTTTAATAGTGTGGTGACTATATTAACCCTCAAAATATTTAGTTACAGTTTTGCCCCTTTCTCTCTTACTTACCATTTGCTTTGCCCTCCTCTTATCCATGTGTTTTTTTTACCATTATTCACTTTTCCAGTTTTCCCCCTCTTCTCTCCTCTCTTTTCACGTTCACACGTTTTTCCCCATTTGAGGAAATCCAAAGCAAGGGTTTCGACACCTTCAACAACGATGGCGGTGAGCTTAAAACCACCAACCATCCTTTCGATAATGGTTATGGGCTTCAATTCTTCTCAGCGTTTCCGATTTCGGCGCTACGATTGCTGAAGTTACGAAGAGGCAGAGGCAGATTATTCATCAGAGATGCATGGTAAACTTTCAGATCTAAGTTGTTAAACTCAATCATCAATTATAGATTTCACATCCTAGGGTTCACTTTTAATTTTTTTGTCAATAAATGGACATTTTAGGGTCGATTCATCTATCATTGTCCAGGCGTCAGCTGTTATAGCAAGCTTCATTTTTGGTGTTGATGCTGGTGTTAAGGTTGTGCTCAATGTCGACGCTTTCTCTTTCCTCTTAGGTTTCGTCTCTTACTCCAAGGCTAAGGTAATTTTATTTTACTCTAGTTGTTTTTGGAGGTTGATTGATGAAAATTGTCAAACAATTTGTTCAAATTAAGTTGTCTCTTTGTGGATTTTTGTGTTGATGTAGCAAAGTAATTTCCAAATTTATTTGTCGTTTCCTAGGTGATTGAAGTTATATATGTATTTCATATTGAAATTGAAGAATAGCACGTTTATCAACGCTTTGTTTACGGTGAATTGTCATTTATAAAATGGTAGAGAATGGTAAAATTGAAACTTATGCTTTAGTTTTTTAACAAATGCTTATTAATTGGTGTGAAGATGCCTATTAGGAAATTGATTTCACATTTTGTGATCTACTTTTAACTATTTGGTATTGTCATATGTGAAAGCCCGTCTAATTAAATTTATTTCCTTTCTTTGTTGGTTCTTAATATATTTAAATTTGTTTATGAATGAGTGATAAGAGTAGCTTGATGTGGGTGTCTGGAATATTGGATGACAACTGAAAATCTGAAAATTTGTAGCCAAGCGTGGCCTTACTCCACTTGGTAAAGGCAACCTATAAATCTTTAAACTAAGACCTCCAAAATCCTTGGAAGAAAATAACAAATTTTCCAAGAAATAGCTTTCGACGATCTCTAAGATTGATGTTGTAACACCCTAGAAATTCCTTTCCTTTATATACCTATCTTACTCTTTAAAAATACGATTTAGGAATATTTAAGACATTACCGCCACCGTGAAAACGGCTAAGGCAACTATCAAAGATACACAGCGGAAGACTTAAAATCAAAACCGTTCAAAACAAGTCAACTTAGAAGTCAACCAAACGAAAGTAAAGTTTAAAACTAGCAAACGAAGTCGAATAAAATCAACTTACAATTTGGAACCATTAAAGGCCCTAATTCAAAACCAATCCAAAACATAAACTTTGCGTTAGTCCACATATAAAATAACACTATGAATAGTCAATGCATAAAACACATCGTAATCTAATGGAAACTAGCATGATTCGGTCTTCACTCATGCCCCGTCATGAATATGCTTCAATACCTGAAAAGCTTATCTCTACTTGTTTCCACTACTCTCCATTAAAAATGGGTCTCATAGGGCCAAGATAAAGACATGGCCAAAACACACAACACACACACACAATCAGAAAACCTGAGTACGTAAGCGTAATTAAACACACTATCATGCTTTCACCTATCAACACACACTTACCTCAATGCACCTGTGAACAAGCACACACAACATTCAACAAGACTTTTAACTAGACACTAAATAATTTATTTAGCGTTGATTACGCATCGAACGGGTTTCCAACTCTACCTCCCCAAAATAGATTGAGGTTAACTAGCACGGGAGCTAACCGTGCCAGCGACAAAACCACACATAGCTGGCGAAATTCCTGCGCATAATAATAAATAAAAAGGAATGTACATCGTCCTGTACTCCATTAGAAGTTATGGTTAAATATAAAACCCCATAACTCTCCCCATATGTTCATACTCAAGGTATATACGTTCCAAGAGTTTTGGTGCGTAATCTCTTTTCACTTTACGTTATTTACATACTATTGGACTTGGTGATGACTCTCAAAGCATAATAATTCAATCAACAAACATACCAATTTAATTCTTGAATATTTAGTGACCACATGATATTTAATGTTGAACCCTTTTTCATTCTACCTTAGTGTCAAAGACACCTTAAACGCATAAAGCGCCAAAATCCTATCCCTCGGTGTTAAAAACACGTTAAGTGCACAAAGGCACCAACATACAATTTATTCCTCGTGTACATAGACACTTATATATAGCTCATTCCTCATGCTTAAAGCATTAATAAAAATTATATGAACCATAATAAAATTCTTTTCCAATATTCCAAGCCAAATTAAATATGTAGTTTAATTAAATATGCACTCCAACATGCCATAAATAAAAGTGTAGTCCATATAATCATGCCAAAATATAATTTTCCAATCCATAAACCATCACAAATAAATCATGCTTCACAATTCAATCACCAACACCAATAATTCACAATTTCAATCATAGACCTTAGCATGATACTACTTGTAATTGATTTAAATCAAGCCTAGCATGATACTACATCACCAAAATATACTAAGTACGCGAACGTACCTTGAGTACGATCTTAAAATCGCCATGACTAATTGAAATTGCTTACTTCAAAGTCTCCTACACATTAAAATCATAGTAGAGTATTAAAATCCACTCTAAACAAATTTCCAGCAATATATTCTATTATAAAATCTCTCATAATTTAATTAAAATAAGCTGAAATTATATTTAAAACACCATACTTAAGTCCCAATTAATGGGTAATTGAAATTTCTTCAAGAAACATAATATTAAGTGCTCTACATAAAATTCCAGCACTTTATTTTAATTTAAAACTTGCTGTAAAATAGTTTTAAAACACTTTAATCAACGATCTAAACCATAATACATCATATTCTTTCAATTATTCATAAATCAAGAACTTAGGGTTTCAAGAATTGGGGCTTTTTAAATTAAAAACATAATCTGAAAATTAATCAACATAATACTTATAACCAAACATCAAAATTAAATCCCAAAACTCATGATTTACAATTAGATTTAGGCATAGATTAAATTAGAACATTAAAGATTATATTTTTAAGTTTTTTTTTTTTGAAAGAGGTGGCTGCCGACAGCAGGGGGCGCCACTGCCGGCTGCTGCCAGCGCTGGTGGCCACCACCGCTGCCGGCTGGGTGGCTAGTGGTCGGCGGCCACCAGCTGGTGGTGGTTGCCGGCGATGTTGGTGGTCCGAAACAAAAAGGGGAAGAAGGAAAAAAAGAAAGAAGAAAATAAGGAGAAAAGGGAGAGAAGTTTACCTTGTGTTTTCTCCACTCTAGGTAAAGTTGATTTGCCTCATAAGGGGGATATTTATACCCCTTCTCTACCACCCCTTTTACCCTAAACTTTCCTCTTTTAGTTTTTCCTAATCCCTTCCCTAATTAAACTTGTTAAAATCATACTTTCCTATAAAAAACCCCAACTTGTATAAAATAAATAATTAAACAAACTTTTCTTTAATAAAAATATTTCCAAACTTACATAAGATAAATAATTAAAATACCATAATTAAAATATTAAAATTATTTAAATACCTTTATAAAATACATATTTTAAATTAAATATGTATAAAAATACGGGGTATTACAGATGTCGTCATACATTGGGATTATTAATGAGATTATTATTGTAATGTATTTTTATGCTAGCATTGGGCTTGAATAGGCGTGTAATCAGTAAGAGTATATAGTCTATTATTATATATATATATAGCTAATCCCAAAGTAATACAAGGCATGAGAATGTTTGCTTCTTAAGTCTTAACAATTGTTCAATATATTTTTTTTCCAACTATTGCTTCTGAGTTTATAATACATTTATTTTAATTATTTTGTTTTGTTTGATGAAAGCTAGATTTGGCTTTGGTTTTAAATTATTCGAATGAAACTACGCTTATAATGATTCTTACCTTCTTTTACTCGATTATGTTCTGTAGACACCCAAATGTGTCTCCCCAAAACCAAACCTAGTATGAATACCTTTCACGTCATTTGATTATCGAACGAAGTGAAAGTGTGAAAAGTCTAGTGATGTGGTTGTTTTTATTAGAATATCTTTCTTTCTGTTTTGAAATATTTCTTCTTACACTCTATTTATGAAAATAGTCAGTCCAAGTTAGTTTGGTCCATGATAAGGGTCCAATAATAGTGTAGTTGGGTTGGGATTGAAAAGAGTTTTCTAACGATATATTATAAGCCTAATTCCGATGAATAATGATGAAGTGATGGCCAAAATACTAAATTGGGCCCGAAATGGATTTTACATGTGGCCCAATGATCTAGAGGACGACCTATTAATTATTATTACTAAAGTTATTAGGATTGATTTTAATCTTCTAGAATAATCTAGAAAGTTCTTTTAAATTCTAATGAGATTAGGATTGACAATTATATTTTAAAGAGTTTTATTTTGAATAAAATAAGTGTTTTGTCACAAACTAGATTTTAATATGATCAACGCGGAACTAGCTTATTAATCATATTAAGAAGAGGATTCCGCGTACAAAGCACGTTTGATTTCTGACTTAGCGCAGGACGACAAGTCTGTCGCCTGGCGCTAACAGCTGTCGCCTGGCGCTAAGCTAAGCTTGTCGTCTCGCGCTAACTCATGTCGTTGGCGACAGGAGGTATTTTATTCCAAATGAGACTTGATTTGTTTCCGGACTATTTTTTCTATAAATAGGGGTCGTATCTCTCCGTTTTCATTCATTCACAACAATCATCTCTCTCTAAAAGTTAGAAGCTTTCTCTCTCTCTCTTTTTTTTCTAAACTTTCTCTTTTACAAAATTCCACATACATTAATTCTAGACACACCTAGCCAAGTTCAAAGTTGCATTCGCTCTAGACGTGAAAGGTTTATAATTTATAAGGGTTTGGTCCCAAATCCCTATTTCAATTTTTTAATTTAATTGTTTATGATTTTCCTTAAAGTTACTAACGTGTGTATTTTGTTATTAGAAAGAGATATGAGGCATCCAAGTAAGTAATTGGTTTAATTGTTAGTATTTTGATATAGAAATCATGCATTGATTATTTTAATTCCTAGTATCATGTTAGGATGTCTTTATGATAACTAGTATCATGTTTAGACCAATAACTAAGATTTCTAATATCATGTATGTTTCTATGATGCTTCCTATTCTTTCCTAATATCATGTTGGTATCTTGTTAGGGCTAAAGATTTGATCTTTAATGTTTAGTGACATGCTAGGGTTTGTTATTAATCTTGTTAGTATCATGCTTAGGATCTTGCTAATATTATTATGCTTTATTGAGAATATTATTATCATGATGATTGTTATTATTTTTGCTTGATATTATTATTATTGTTATTGCTTGATCACGCCTTTTATTCATGTTTAAAGGGAAATTGTACTTGTAATCACGCTTAATAAGATAATTAATAATCTTGTTTAGGCTAATATGATTACAATTCAAGTGATCGCCAATAATAGATTTGTTTGTGCATTAAATATCAACCAACATAGATTAAACAGGTTTAGGGTTAATCTATTGATTGCATGTTAGTCAAAAAGCGCACATGAATATGAGAAGAATAAATTAGAGGCCTATTTTTAGGGCAGGTTTAATCTCTTTTAGGTTGGATCTGTACCTTCATCCCCGAATATCTAGTCATGGTTCCAGACCACTATGGAGTTAGCAATCTCATGGATCGTGAAGGGGTATAACCTTCATCCTATGAACGGTTTACAAGTTCCTAAAACTTGTTGGCGACTCTTTGTCCTTTCTTTTGGACGCCACCATGCTTAAGTGTATGATCATAGTGGGGCTCAAGTGTGGGATGCTTGAAATATTCCCTACATGTTCTTTACTCTTTTGTCATTTTTCTGCATGTGGGAAAAACTATATTGAAGAGCAACCATTCTCATGGCTGCCTGAACATTGAAGGTGCTCCGATCCTAAGTATTGTTCGGTACTACTATTTTCATTACATAATTCAGAGCTCAATTTGTGGATAAGATCATGCTATATTTTTTGTTTGAGGAATTGATATCTTTTGTTACGATTGAATCTTTTGTTGTATTTATTTCTATAGCACAATCTTTCTTTTGTTTATAAGAGACTATTGCTTTCTGTTTAGCAATTAGAGACTAAAGAGTGTTTCATGTTGAGTTTGAGAGGAAATAACAATCTGTTTTAGATTCTGATATCCGCTCTTATGATAATCCGTTATTGAAAATTAACTTTTTATGGTGAATATATCAGTTACAGCTATAATTGATTTCAGTATTTGAACTTTTATAAATAAGTTGATTTTATTTTATTTAGTGCTAATTTGAAACTTTTTTTTTGTTACACCTTAATGTTTCTAAAAATGCAATTTTATTAGTATTTTAGCTACCTTGCACTATTCATTTTTCTAATTTACCTCTATTTCGTTGCTAGTTTTACTTCTCTCTATATTTTCAACCCATTTTCCCGAGAGTTTCTCAAGAGTCTGATGGTGAATCGTTGGCGACCACCAACCACGACCAGGCTATCTTTTTCACTTTCAACAATTCCTTCAAAATGAAGAACGCTTCGATTTTGAGGTTGATTGTGTAATTTTGGGGCTGAATTTTGAGTTATTTATTGCTAAAATTGTATTTATTGTGATTTAATTATCTACAGGGTTTGGTGAAGAATTGGGAGAATTCAGGCAACTTTGCAAATTCTGATTCTGAGCAAATGGTTGCACATGTTCGATTATTTAACTGTTATATTGTTCGTTTGTTTGATTGAAGAAGCTTATCACCCTATAGTCGAAGCAGTGAGTCTTATACTGTTCGTTACAACATTAGTAGTAAATACCTCTCTCCTTTAAAGTTTTTAAAATTTGGTAGAACTTAGATTGTCAGGACTATCTTTTTTCTTTTAGTTTCTTTTTGTTGGGAAAGGATCCTTTTGAAAGTGGGTCGGTATGTTGTACTCCTAAGGTTGATGAGAAACTTTGCCATCTCTTTTCTAACTAAAACATAGCCTCAGGAGCTGATTAGTTAGTGATTACAACTTTATGTATTATTAATTTAGTGGATATGTTTTAGGGTCAATGGGGTCATGAATCAAAAAGGGTTGTGTTGTAGAATTAGACTAAGCGATTTTTACCCAATTGGGGTTTTGATTTATTGGTGATGTTATTGTTTGTGAAGTGTTCTTTGGTACCCTTTTAGGGTTAGATTTAATACTCCTTTTGTTGTTTTTATTTGCCGAATCATTGGATTTCTTAAATGATTTAGCAAATTCTGGTTATGGGATTTGTAGATTTTACAGGTTTTTGATGAATTTTTGTTTATTTTGCAAAAATGATGAGATTACGAGATGAGAGCTTCAATGACACTCAATTTAAACTCCCTTTTAGTGCTTCTCGAGGGGAACCATCAGGGGGGGAGGGGATAACTGTCAGAACAATGTTAATTTAAACATTTTGGTACTATCATGTTTATTAAAGTTGATATTTAATTTTTCCTTTTTTTTTAATTATTTCTTTTTTATTATTTGTGTTAGATTGTTAGTTATACATGTTCTTTGTTATTAATTCAACTTTGTTCTTTAGTTTCTCAAATTTAATTGATTTAGGGTTTCTGATGAGTTTTGTTTTTGCTTGTAGCTTGTCAGGAGCAATTTGGTTCTCTGTCTCTATACACTATACGCAGCTGCCGAGTAGATAGGCGGTGATAGTAGCAATGGTGGTGGCTTCGAAAAGGGGGAAGAAAGAGAGTGGGGACTGGGATGAAGTGTAATCCCCCGTATTTTTTTTAAAATATTTTATAAATGAAATATTATTTTATTTATAATATTTATTTGTTATTTTCCGTAATTTAATGTCAAAAGTTTCAAATGATTACTCTGGGTCGAAAATTATTTGAACAAATTATTTTATGCACCTTTATTCTACAATTTATGTCCAATCAAACAAGCCTAACCCATTTGTTTACTTAATTGACCCATTATTTTTATAAGGTCCAATCTTCCTATTTACCCTACAATTCTCCTATAAATACCCCATGAATCCCCAAAAATTTCCCACACAAAAAGGTTAGTCTTATTTTCTCCTTTGTTTTATTAATTTGTATAATTATAAATATTGATTTATGGGTTTTGATTTTATTGTTTGAAATTAATTTAATTAGTATCAAGTTGTATTTTGATGATTAAACTTTATAAATTCAGATTTTATAAATGTCATAATTTTCAGATTTTGTAAATTTTATAACCTAGGGTTTTTAATTATTGAAAATCATGATTTTAGGGTTTTTATGAATAATTGATTTAGGGATTTTATAGTAATGATGTTTTGAAATTTTGGTGATTATAACTACTGATTAGTTTAACTTAATTCCAGATCATTTTGAACATGTAAATTCGTATTTTAATTTTTAGATTTCCGTACGCTCATATTAATCCCTTTTTAATCTCGATCAGGTTATGAACTCATCCGATTTTGATAAAAAAAAAGTAGTGTTTTCCATGTAAAAACAACATTTTAAGAGAGACACACTACCTTTGGTACTGATCACCACCCTCTCGTGGCCAAATTCAGCCTCTAAATATGATTTTCAGGCAGTTTTTGATTTTTAACGAAGTTTTTTTATGCTTAAAATTTTATCCTTGAGTTTGATTAATAAAATTAATTATGTTTAAAGTTAATTAAGCATAAATATTTGTTTTATTGAAGTTTAAAGAGGTTTTTCATCATATTATATTGTTGGAAATTACTTGGGTTAGTAATATTAATTGTTGGTTGTTTTTTAGGAAGTGAATATTTCCTATGAGACTTTTGATTGAGTATTAAAGTGATGTGTTGATAAAGTTTTGAAGGGTTTTTATTTAATCTAAAATGCTGAAAATAGTTTCTAAGTACTACTTTTGATGTTTTATAAAGAGGGTTTAATCACCCATTAAAAAAGGGAGATTATTAGGGGTTTTTAAATAATTTTCATATTTTTATTAAACTTTAAACTTGCTGTAATTTCATGTATAAGAGTGTATTTTAAGGTTTTTATGAAGAAAATTTAAAGAACTATATATAAGCCTTTAATTTTAACTAAAGGGAAGGTTTTAAGGTGTTGTTTAATTGGATTTTGAAGGTTTTAAAATAAGTTAGTATTGCTGTAAATTTGATTGATTGGGTATTGATTGAGATGTTATTATTTGGTTTAGGAGAGGAGTTTATTGAAGGTGATTTCTAGATAGTAAAGTGGCATACCAATTCGTTTATTCAAGGTACATACGAGTTACGAAACCTTGCCTTTATATGCATGTTTAGGGATGTATCCAGAACTTAATTAGTATCATGTATAGGGATGATTGGGCTAAATTGTTTGGTTATACATTGTGATTTCCGTATGATGTGCACTATTCTATATTGAAAATATTGTTTATGCTCTAATTATGCAAGGTGCGCTTAGAGGCAAAGGTATGTGATTGGGGAAATGATTTATTTATTACTCATTCGTGATTATTGAAATAGAATGAGTAAAGGGAAATTCAAGTCTTATAAGATGAGGTTAAGGTTTTGGGGTGCTTTATGCACTCAAGGTGTTTATACACCGAGGTAGTTAAAGGAACAAATAATAAGTGTTGCTTGTCACTAATAAATCAAGAATTGAAATTGGAAACTTGTTTTACTTGATTGAATTGATATTGGATTGATTGTATTGTTTGCATATAAGTCATCACCAAGTCTAAACTTGTAATCATGTAAAGTGCAAGATGGATGAGCAATAAAACTCTGGATTGGTGCACATCTGGAGTAATGACAATCAGGGTTGGGGTACACGGGGTATTAGCCGTGCACTTTTCTCGAGGGCGTCTGATCTACGAGTGTCTTATTTCAAATACTTTTCGAAAATAGGATTTAGATGAGATCTCATACTAACTACGGTCACGGAGTCGCACCCGTGGTCGTTGGATGTTTATTGATGTTTCCGAAAAGAGGCATGGGGTTTTTCTTTTATTGATGTTCCAAATGGAGCATGGGTTGGACAACCTTGTCTATTGCGTAATCCAATGAAATAAATAATGAGTTCGTTAATATCAACTAGCGAAGTCTTAATAAAATTGATAGTTGAGTCGTGTGTTGAGTCTATAAATTAATAATGTGTGATGATTAATTATTAGTAGCATGCTAGGGATTTCTTATTATGTTTTGCAGCTTGTATGTACTCAGTTTTGCTGATTGCGTGCTTTATGTGTCTTTCTTTGGTCATGGCCTTCGCCTTTCAATGACCCTGTGACGATCCAATTTTTACACTTGTAATATTGAGGAGCAGATTAACCACAGGTTCTTACACATGCAACATTCGCATCAGGGTTGTGGGATTTTGAGTGGAGAGTTGGTTATTATTCGCAGTTTATTTCTTTTCATAAGTTTGAATTTATTTAAACTCTGGTTTTATTTATTTACAACTTTTGTGGGGTTTTGAATAAGGGCCTTAATGGTTCCAAGTTGTATGATTTAATTTGGTTTTGGTTATTGGTTTTGAAACTTATTTATAGCTGAGTTAGTTTTTCCGCTGCTATTTTCTAATAAAGCCTTAACGTTAGAACATGTGGCAGTAGCACGCCAGTAATTCTCTTGAATATTGTTCAGGGTCCACACAGGTTTAAAGAGAGAATTATAAGGGTGTTACATGAAGGATTGTGTAGTAATAATCAGAATCGAGAAAGTGTATAAGGAGGAGAAAACTCATAAATGATGGTTTGAAGCTATTCATTGGTAAATCCTCATTTTTTTTTTTCTTGTTTATCTTCTCTCTATTCCATTATCATTATTACTTGAATTCAAGCTTTCTTTAATTTGCCTATCAACTCAATCAATTTAAAGTTTCGTTCTTGCTTGGTGATGGAGTACTGCCTTGGAGGTGATTTGCACTCATTTTGGTAAAGAAAACCTCATAAATGCTTTTATGAGCGTGCTCAAGGTGGAATATTTTGTGTGCCCTTTACAATTGCATTTAAGTATTTTTTAAAAACCAATATTCTCTTTATCACTCTCTTCACGAAAACTTTATTAGTTCAATCTAATTAATTGATTTATGATTGTTCAATTACAATATCCCTTAATATTTCATCAAAGCATTATAAAGTGCTTGTAGAATAAAAAAAAAAGTAGTATACAGAGTGTTGTCATCCCTTAAACATTTATGTGAGCTAGACTCTGCTGCAAGCCTACAAATCATCCACATACCAACCTCATAAGTCATAATTATGAACATGTTTATTAGGAATTTCTTCCGCTGCAGAAGTGGATATGATTTAGAAGCTGCTTGAGTGGGAAAATAATTTTCATTGGGGGTGGTGGTAGAGGGGTATGCATCTTAACACCTACTATTTTGGTCAGGCTTAGATTATGGATTATGTAAATTTAAGAACAAAAAATTTCTGTTGTTGGAAACTAGAGAGTTGTATACTTTATAATTAGGTTGAAATTTTTAATAAGAGAATTACTTACCAAGTTACAATCATAATGGAACGTCAACCTTTTTTTTTAAACTTTGGCTACAACCACTGCAATAATCTTTATGACTGTGAAAGTGTTTGGTTCTACCATGACATACTCAGAGTTTGGCTTTAAACATAACCTATAGTAACCTACTACAGGTTTTGTCCTTGCTTAATGTTGTGTTTGTTTGGATTGGTGCAGTGTTACCAACTATATCTATGTTTTTGCTCATGTAAAGACTTTCAATTTTCAGTGTACAAGTGTCATTAAAGGATTGATTGGTAAAAGCAAAGCGATTTGAAGTAGTTTAAGCGAGTTCATTAAGTGTGACAAGCCTTGGATGTGAGGCTATTGTGTGGAGTATTGGCTATACCATTACTTACCTTCTCAACCTTATTTGCAGAAGGATGGAAATGGTGGGGTAGGCATATGCTTCATATACAGTCATTGGTTCTAAGAGGGCAAAGGTCCCATTACATTGCTTGAGGGCGGTTTTAGAGCACTCTACAAAGGCCTGGTCCCTTATGTAGTATATATCAATGTTTTTGGTTTTAATCAAACAGAAAAATCAGGTTAGATTTTATTCTTTAGATGATGCCTGATGAAGCTAATCAATATCATTGTTGTGTGAATTGAATAAAATTCTATTATAATTATTAAATAATGGCTTTTGTTTTCTTTATTAAAAGTTTCGATGATCTTAGCTAACTTAACTCAATTTTAGTTGATAGTTTTACTCCATTTTGGAGATAAAAGAGGTTAAAGGTGTTATGGATTCGGGTTATTTTCTCAAGATTATTGTTTGTCGTTGGAAGATTAAATGTTATATTGAGATTTCATGATTTTTTTTTATGATTGGGTTAACTTAATACCTGCGAAACTGATTTACTCAAAGTGCAAAAAATAGGATATTATTGCGATAATTTGGCCACAAGAAAAGGCTTGGAGGGTGTTGCAAGAGGAGATGAACACAAAATTATGGCTCTCATGGCAACAAGGACTTTGAAGGCAAGTGAGGTCGCTGATCTTAGCTAGAAGCAATATCTTACTGTAGACACCCATTTTTGGCCTCTTGTCCCGAAAGGAAGCGCGATGATGTTACAAAAACCCGTTCTTCATGCTAGATCAAAGTTGAAGTGTTTATGGACTACGAAATGCATTATGAAGTAAGTTAAAAACTCATATTTGAGACCAAGTTATCTTAGAGCCTTGTCCGATTACTTATTAGGCCTAAAACGTGCTCATACATGTTTAAACTTGATTAATAACGAACCCAAATGCGGCAAATGCAATGATTCGATCCAATGGATCTTACATTGTTGAAAACCGAGACAAACAGATAAATCACATATTTCCATGAATGGCCTATACGGATGGATATCTCTTTCAAAGAGATTTCCAACGGTATATTATAAGCCTAATTCTGAGCTAAAACAAAGAAGTTATGATCAAAACACTATGCCGGGCCCTAAAACCGACACCCTTGCACTCCAACGGCCATATCTTTTGATCCATAACAGATTTTAACCTAACTCTAATGACATTGGAAAGTAGACATTCAGATCTTTCCAATGAT